CTAAAGTCCTTTCCCAATGCTACTGGTCTGCGAGTCTGTGCCCGTCCGCAGCGCGTGAGGCTGTCACTCATCGGCGGTGTAGGATCCCCATGGCCAGGCACCCTCCCGCCGCCGTTTATCCTCCGATATCTGCCCGCAGGATCAGGGCTCTCCGCTTCGTACCTCAAAACCAACCGCCTGCGATATTGTTTGTAGAGCTCCAGATCTTCTTATATCTCAGGCTGGTTTTGTGGGTGCTCAGAGTGGTCTGGTAGATATCCAGCTCAATTCCGGGGACCAGTTGAAATAGGGTCCCCTACTCCTCCGCCATCTTTCCCCCCTCCTCTGGAATCCTAGGTTTTTAAATTTAGGTATAATTAATGTAGAATATACACACATAAAGGGCACAATTTGATGAATTTTGACCTATATAGTCTGTGTGAAACTGTCACTCTAATTAATAACCTCACCCGTCACCTTCAAACATTTCCTCACACCCATTATGAGTCTGTCCCTGTCTACTGTGTACTCGCCTTCCAGACATTTATTGATAGGCTTTGTGTTACTGTAGATTAGTTTGCATTTTCTAGAAATTTATGTAAGTGGAATTATATATGTTCTTTTTTTTTTTTTTTTTTTGGTCAGAAGTCTCACTCAGCTTAATTGTTTTGAGATTCATGTACCTTGTAGTTAATTTTTATTGCTGAGTAGTATTTTTATTGCTGAGTAGTACACATGTGTGTACATGTGACAAAGTTTATCTATTTACCTATGATGGATGTTTAGATAGTTTCTACTACTTGGCTGTTACAAATAAAACTGCAGTGAGCCTTCATTTGCAAGTCTTTGTATGGCTATGCATTCAGTCTCTTGGGTAAATACCTAGGAGGGAAGTGGCTGGGTCATAGGCTAAATGTACATTGACTACTTGGATTTAAATCTCTCTTGTACCACTTAGTAGTTTATGACATTGCATTAGTCATTGCATCTCTGGTATGTAAGGCGCAAGTCTGTTAGAAGGATTAAATCATATGATGCATGTGAAGTGTTTAGTTAGCACTGTGCCTGGCTTATAGTAAGCATTGATCATCTCAACTGTAATCTTTTTTAACTTTAAATATTTTAAAACTTTAGAAAATTTCATTGTTGAAATTTCTTAGCTTTATTTCTCGGGAAAGTTCATTCATGTGAAAAGGGATTATTCCGTCATACTGCATAATGGCACATCTAATAAATACTCTATTTAAAAGATACGTTTCGTTGTAACAGGAGGTATGTACATGGTTATTAGCTAATGAAATACATAGAATGCTTAGCAGGCTGGCAACCTTTGAAATGATAGATTGACATGAGAGATTTCAGTTTCTAAAAGACTATCCATCTATTAAAATGCATGAATGTGTAATCAGTTTATTTTTTAAATTTTTTATGTGTACTCAGTTTAATGAGGGTTAATAATAAATATTCATTTATAAATGAAAAGTCAATGATAAAAGAGCTAAGATAAAGACAATGCAATTCTGTAGCTTCTCCTTGAGTTCTGGTGTAGTAATTGAGGAGCGATCTCTACATTGAGAGGGGACCCACTTTCCTTATTAGCTCTGTTGCTTTGGGGACATCATTTAACCTCTCTGCCACTTAGAAGAATTAGCCTCCAGCTCAAAAATCTATGATTCGGTGACACATTACATGGCAAGATACTTCTTTAACCATTCTGGCACTCCCTCAAATCTAAACATTGAGTTGAAATCATTTTTTAATTATGCCCATGGAGAGTTTTATGGTTGCTTAAGGAGAGGTGTAGATATTAATGCATTTATGCAGGAGTCTGCACTGGGTGTCCAGAGTCAGTGCTGTTATCTTTTTGGTTTGCATGCTGAAAACCAACCAGGTATCACAGGAGACAGAGCTGAGCTCTCAGGTTTTATCACCACTGACAGAGGGTCAGAGCCGAGCAGCCACCCTCCCTCCAAGTTTGCTTGAAAGTCTCTTAGACGTGAGCAGTACGCAGACATTTTGCTTTCCTCCCAACCGTGTACATGGAGGAAGGACCCTCTCCTGAGGATGTGGTTTTTGCAACACAAAGCCCAGAGAGACACAAGGAAACGCTGATTTTTCTTCCACTTTATTTTTAGTTTTACTGTTTGGATATTCTTTTCAGCAGGGCCTTATATGAAATTAACCATAACACTGCACTTAAATTGACACCTGCTGTCCGTCTTTTCAACTAGCAGCTGGATGAACAGATGCCAGTGAGCAATTGCTGTCCAATAACTACCCTGCTCTATTTTGTCAGGACTATTATTTGCATTTTTCATATTTATTTATTTATATGTATAGCTGCTTTTCCCTGAGTAATATTCAAACTGCTGGCCCCATTGTTGGAGAGTAATGATTTAGAAATACTGCAGTGGTTATAAATTCTGATATAATATATCATAGACTGGAACTGCAGAATGATCAGACAGAAATGCTGTCTGTCTTTTTCAGATGCACACTTGAGAAGACATCAGTGTCTCTAATAAATTTCAGTCTTCCTGCCCCCACATCTCCACAGGACCACCAGGGCCATCTGCAGGAGAGGATTTTTGATAGGAGTTTCCAAGGTTGTTGCTAATATCTCTTCAATTAAAAACTGGTTACTTTCTTTGAGGAATCCTCAAAGGCAGGGGAAGTTTATTTGGCAGTATCTTTAGAGCTTGCTTTTAAACAGAATGATTTCTTTCCATTCTGACATAAGGAAGGGATGTTTTGGGCCACTACTGACATTTTATTCACGCATTTAGCTTATTCAGTGGGTCTGCTGGGACTGAGCACAGGCATTGACTTCAGCTTCCAGTCATCAAGAAAGCAGTCAGCTTTTCCTACTGAGTTCAGAGAATATGCTCCAATTTGTGGATAGTTCCTCTTAGCATTCCTGTGTGGTACACAGCATACATTGAATTTTGTTCCCTTCAGTAAATCGCTAGAATGTTTTCTCTCAAACAAACTCAACTTCTGATCATCTTTGTTGGAAAAACTATAAAAGCCTCATCCTGTGCAAATATGGAAAAACTATTATCTTTCCCTATTCTGGGGCAAAAAAAAAAGGCAAATCACATAGTCAAGAAAGTCAATTGTTGGTTTAATTTCAACATTTCCAAAGTGGTAATCATATTTTTAGTTATTACTGTCAAAGTTATAAATTATTAAAGGTCTGTGTGATATTTTTTCACTTCTGCATTATCCAAATTGATTGGCATGCGGTAAAAATTTAATTTGCCTTTTGCTTTCTCATTGCTTTAAAGTGTTTGCAGAATGTAAATGATTATATTAAAATTGTACAGTATTCATAATCAGTGTGCTAGTTCAGTGTTTTAAAAGGAAACAGAATGAAACCTTTCAACATTCATCCATTGATCTTCTTGAATGTCTTTATTTTTTTAACCTAATTTCTGGGGAATTAAATGATCATTTAACATAAAGGTAATATATCCTCCTGTAGAATGTAGAAATTTCTCTAGAACCTATTCTCACAGGATAGGCTGCCAGATACCAGTCTCCCAAAAGGGAGATTTGTTCAAATTTTCAAATTTGCTATTCTTAAGGGGTTTTTTCTTTGTTTTCTAAATGTTGAGCAACTAATAGCAATTGGCAGGAGGGATTTGTGTCTAAAATTCAGTGATGCCTTCAGCAGCATTCATTTAATCAAGTTTTGCTTTGTGTGTGTGTGTGTGTGTGTGTGTGTGTGTAAAATAAGAAAGGCCCATGAGATGATTTCCCAAAAAACAATGTTTGATTCCCTAGGATAGATTTAAGAACCAGATCAACTGAGCCAAAGAGCAGTGGGTACATAACTCATATTCAGATTTTCCAGTGACCTTGGAGATTCTCTGTTAGAGACCACTGCAGGATTAACCTTGGGACACTGGGGCAAAGGAAAAGTTCTGTTCCTATCTCTGACTTCAATATGACTTTTCTTCCCACCTCACTGTTTAGAAACACTCCAGTTTCTTTTTTTGTTTGTTTTTTTGTTTTAAAGATTTTATTTATTTATTTGAGAGAGAGAGAATGAGAGAGAGAGCACATGAAGGGGGGGGAGGGTCAGAGGGAGAAGCAGCTGATGCGGGACTCGATCCCAGGACTCCAGGATCATGACCTGAGCCGAAGGCAGTCGCTTAACCAACTGAGCCACCCAGACTCCCCGAAAAACTCCAGTTTCTTTACTGCTTTCACACCTGCTGTTTACCCTCCTTCTGGCCTATGCCCCCATCCAGAGTGCATTTAACAAGGCGGGAGGACAGGACTGGTGAAAGAATTTTCAAAGGCACCCTTGCACACCCCATGCTCACAAAAGGACACAAAATCAGTTTATCCCTATAATGCAAAATACTTCTCTGTCTGATAGCAGGAATATGTTTGTAAGTACAGATATACTTGAGAATGCCTTGTTGGACACCCTGTACAGGATTATGGAAAATATTGTAAACTGTTGAATGACAGATACATCAACCTAGCACATGGTTGTGTGTGGACCAGAGCTGTTTTACTCTGTGGGGTTTTATTAGTGACAGATTGCTTTACTTGCAATATGGTCACGAGTTTGGTGTGTTTGTGGGTTTACGTGGGCATTATAAAGTGTAGATAAAAACAATAAAGCAGCAGATGGGATTGGAGAAAGTGAGTATCTCTTCATGGTCATTGGGATAATTTGGGATCTTCCATTTGCAATTTACAGAGAATTTATATCTGTTTTGTTTCTGCCACCCATGTCCAGAATTCTCTGCTCCCCTGTTCATAGTGTGTTTGGTCATGTGGGATATACCACTGGGAGGAACACCTGATTATGTGTATGTTAGTGTACAGAGCATGGATAACAAATAGGACTCTGACTTGGTGACCCTAGAGTTGGGATATACATAGTAGCCACACAAGGGGACAAAAAGATTTGTTGATTTCCAGCCTTGAAGCTCAGAGGCCACATATTTCTAGTCAGATGTTAGGTGGGTAAAAAGTATTTTGGCAGCTGCCGGCCCTTTGAGGACTCCACCGTCTGCTTCTTGGCCGTCAGTTTCAGCCTCCAGCGCCTTCCAGTCTTCAGCATGCTGGTCCGACCCCCAGTGGCACTAATGTGGGCTCATCGGGGTGCTCCCCCAGCAAAGCAGTGTCCGCCCGGGCGGCTGGATCCACGGTCTGGCAGAGAAACTATGCGAGCTGTGGAACAAGGAGCGTGGGCGCACAACCTCAGCAGGCACTGGGGACATGTGGTGATTCTACACAGAAGACTCACCTGGGCTCAAGGTTGGCCCTGTTCCAGTATTGGTTATGAGTCTTCTGTTCATTGCTTCTGTATTTATGTTGCACATTTGGGGCAAGTACACTCGTTCATAGATTCGGCTACATCCATCTGTCTGTCATCTGAAGAAGAAGGAACAAAAACATATCTTGGACCAAAAGCATAGTGACTTTCTGTTTGTGAGAAAGAAATATTCTGTAAGCTTATTGTTTTACAGGGAACTTAACAAGAATTGATTTAAGGAATCAATTTTTTTCTATGGCTAATAAACTTTTTAATTCATTAAAAAAAAAAGTATTTTGGTCAAAAATCTATTCCTTTGATACCCACCTTCTTCCTGAGAGTACAAGATATTTCCAAGAGAATAGAATGGTTTTCTAAATCTTATCTTCTATAGTTTAAAAATGGTTGATTTCAGGGGCGCCTGAGTGGCTCAGTCGTTGGGCGTCTGCCTTCGGCTCAGGTCATGATCTCGGGGTCCTGGGATCGAGCCCCACGTTGGGCTCCCTGCTCGGCGGGAAGCCTGCCTCTCCCTCTCCCACTCCCCCTGCTTGTGCTCCCTCTCTCGCTGTGTCTCTCTCTGTCAAATAAATAAATAAAATCTTAAAAAAAAATAAAATAAAAATGGTTGATTTCAGAACTTAGGAACATACCCTGACCTATGACTATGGTAACAGCAGTTCTCTGTGATAATTATTCACTTACTATATTCTGTGTTAACACAACAAAATCACCAAGATACCAATTTTGGGGAGCTATAACACTCAGAGTAAAATCCCTAGAATTTTCTACCATATAAACTATATTGAAATAGTTCAGAATTTTTCCATTATAATCTAGAAATGATTTTTATAAGTACTCAAAACTAAATATGTGAAATATAAGACATTTGGCATCCATTTTTGATATATATCTAAGGTGGAAAAAAAGTAGGGATTAGTTAAACAACAGTTCTCTTTGAGTAGAGTTCAGCGTTACATGGATTTTAATTCTGACTTGACTTATTGCTCAGATAGTCTTCCAGGAAGAAAGGTAGTAAGCAGACAAAACCATAACCAAATTGGGGCAGGAGTGTCAGGGAGAAGCTTTTGTTTTTAGAAGGGACAGATTTGAATGAAGTTGACTGAACTGATCCTTGGATATGCTAACAGCATCGCACTTCTTCCTCTTCTTTTCCACCATTTTAAAATCTTCTGGCTTGTCATCTTGATATAACCTTTGTACAAGTACTCAGAAGAAAGTCAAGATGCTTAATAATCATATAAATTAGGCAGAACAGACACATTTTTGATAGGAGAAATAACTAATAACAAAACATGTTCTTAACAAGTGGCCAGTGATGTGACAAATATTTCATATAAATGGAATTAAGAGTGAAATGTGCAGCCACCAGCTAACATTTTTAAAATGAGAAAATCATAGTTAATTCAGCTTTATGAGACAAACATATTTAAAAAGATGTTGTATAAATGGCTCATGCAGTAGCATGTGGGTTTTTTTTTTTTCATTTATTTGTATTTAGAATAGGGCAAAATGTCGAGCATTGTAATTTTATAGTAGCCTATAGTAGTCTAAATGGCATGCCTCATGGTATCAATACTGTAGAATATAGGTTTTGTCTCCCACCCCCATCCTCAAGACTCTTGGCTGTCAACCTTGTAACATCCTGAAAAATTTAACTCACCACTGTTGCAGTTATTGAAGTGATTTCTCCCAAGGTGATTTGTGGTCTAAACAAAGCCCTTCATGGAATTTTTAGGGCTCAGTGGAGCTCACAGATAGGAATCTTGTCTATAATATGTAAGTGAAGGTTGGTTTCTTTGGAATATATTGCTAGGAAGCACTGGCACGTAAATGGGTAATAGCGATGCCTGGAGGTATAGGGATCGAAAGGAAGCAGGGAAGGGAAGGAGGCCAATATAGGATATAGATCTGAGCAGGTTGCTCTGCACCATGGGGCCCAATCCTGCTGGGAAGGTCTGAGAGATGCTGTTAGATGCTTTCAGAGCTGTCCCTGCCTCAGGGTGTTTATCCACCCTGTGACCTGAGAATCCCAAGTAGGTCAGATTGTGTCTCGTGGACAGACAGAAAGAAGGAAGGTTGTTCTTGTACCCATTGATACTCGTTCTTATTTATTGTGTGGGACTGACTTGATCTTCTAATGAGTGACCACATGGCGAGTTTTGCTATGTGTCCTTCTGATTCAAAACACATTGATTATGGTCTTCTGTGATAGGTGCAGGAAAATAGGAACCATCAGGAAAGTTGTTGGTAACCACTGCGTGCAGATATGGGAGCATGGGCCAGAGAAACACACCATAATACCATCCACAGATTTGGTCTGTCAAATATAAATTGCTTGTATCTTCGGGGTAGATGACCGTTCTGCCAAATCCATCATATACTAAGAAATACGAAATTTGTCTACAGAAGTTTTTTTTTCTTTCTTTTTTTTTTATTATGTTATGTTAATCACCATATATTACATCATTAGTTTTTGTTGTAGTGTTCCGTGATTCATTGTTTGTGTGTTAACACCCAGTGCTCCATGCAGAACGTGCCCTCTTTAATACCCATCACCAGGCTAACCCATCCCCCCCCAGAACCCTCAGTTTGTTTCTCAGAGTCCATAGTCTCTCATGGTTTGTCTCCTCCGATTTCCCCCCCTTCATTTTTC